CACTATCTGAGTCAAGCAACAGGGGTAGTTCCAGATCTAGCTGCTGCTGGGTCGATAAAGAATAATTTTCTATCTTGCCGCTGATTTTGGCGAGGCGGTAAAGTTTAAGGTCAAATTGCCCAAGACCGAACTTCCTGGCTTGCTCGTTAAGACCAAGAAAGTCAATAACGTTTTTCTTGAACGCTGAAAGTGTCCGATGCTCTTCTTGGACTTTGAGTCTTGCCTTGTATCTTTCGCTTGGCCTTTCCTCACCCGTTCGATAAAAACTAACAACAGCTTTCAATACCGACATCGTTCAACTCACATGCACACTGGGTGAAGAAATTGGAGATCTTAAAACAAAAAGCTGTCAACTTGTCCTACAAAACGCAGGCCAAGTGAGGTCAAGGGAGACTACCGGGGGTCCTTGAAACGAGCTTGGCCTATAAACGTATGAACCACATGTACGACATGTACGGAGTCAAAGTCAGCAAAATAAGAAATGAAACAGGTCATAAGTAAGTTTAGCACCTTCCTTAAAATTAAGAAATTTAGGGAACAATTTTTTTTTACGGTTACCTCTTTTGACCCGATTTACGGCTAACGGTTAAAATTTTTCAATTTTTACGGCTATCGACTAAATTTTTGGCCATTTTACGCCTATCGGTTAACCCCATTAAGACCCTCTTTAAAGACCAAGAGGAACAAAAATATGTCACCAACAGGCAAAGCTCCATCGGAGAATAGTTCTTGAACTCAGATGAACTCGAGTCAGTTTCTCTGGTTCTTGTATCCATGTAAAACAGGCTACATGACATTAAAAAAACAAAGAGGATTTGCTCACTTAAGTTACGAATAGTTTAAAACATCACCAAAGAACAGATATTGTAAAGATATATTTCATGTTTTAAGGCAGCTAACGGCAATCAAAGCAACGTATACTTTAATAATTCCACAATGCTATTGTGACCACATGGATTAAGAAAAAACCACTGTAGTCATGGCTGGTAGGTTTACCGACTTCAACAGAAGAAGTAAAACTAAGATGAACCGAAAAAGTACGCTAATGACACATGCGAAAGTTTGTCGAACGACGCTACATAAAGAAAACGTAAAAATAAAATTCGAAATGAAATGCAATACGGAAAATAATTAAACTTGGACAACAATAACACCCTAAATAACCGTAAATCTTGCAAAGGTTTGAGTCAACTAACTTATAATCCGCGAGAGAAAAAACACACTGCTAACAAGACCGAAGTGGCGCGAAAATTTAACCGCGCACGGACTGGCCTGGGCTAGCTACAGTCACAGTAATAATGACACACAAGCCTCCGCAAAGTTATTATTTGATTGTGCTTTCTGGTTGCAATTTCTAACTGGACAAGGCTGGTTAAGGCCAGTTTGAGCCCCTGATGACCCCGACGGCTCCAATCACATCTTATCGACTTACATAACCCCCGATATGCAACATTTTATACTGCTATAGGAGTGACTCACGACCCACTTTTCTTCCCCCCTACTAAGTACCCAGCGGTATCCGTAAATAATATTTAATCAGTTAAGTAAATAGGTTTGTGCATGTTGACAATAAATAGGTAAATGAAATAAAAATGGCTGAGAAAAATATAGAACATGAAACAGAAGAGCACATTATGGGAAACTCACAAGCATATACACAAATGTAGGCGCCTCCGATAGAAAGAAGAATAGCAAGAATTAAGTATCTGAAGAGTTGAATCCAAGTCAGAAGTGTCATTCTGCTCGGTTAGTTGCTTGAAATAATAGACAAAAGCAATTGTTGCTTCAAAATTGAATGCGGTGCAGTAATCCGTCCTTTTTAGAATTATTAAAAAAAAAAGACAATTTATCTGATTCCAAAGTGACGTGGTATCTATTCCGCTCAGATAAGTCACCTCGATAGAGCAGTGCTTCTTTTGATAATTAATCAATCCAAACCCCTGACTTAACCTTCTTGTGAGCCACACTTTCAATTACTCTACCATTGTTTTTTAAANGTAATATTAGTGCGCACTATAGTCTCCGATTGTTGTACGGGTTGGATATATCCTCTCTTCGGTAAATAACGGATTGCGAAATCAGTTGAATAGGTTTTTTTAGACTTTTATTTCAAGTTTAGCTTATGTTCCAAATCGTCGGAATTCGAGAAATGAGGTATGTTCTTGTAGAGTTATGCCATTTTTTTACAGTTGGGTGGAGTTCCAGTTTGATGAAATTGAACACCATGGGAAAAATAGATGCAATACAATACAATAAAATAGACTTTATTTCAAGAGGGTAGCACGTGACAGTAGTTAAACTGATGATCCTGTGGCCCTCTACCTATGTACCTATATATACAATACTATTAATTGTTATTCTATTATTTATTATAATTAATTAACAGAAAATCATTTTAATTAACAAAGAATCTAATATGGCGTACTGAAATTGTTAGTTTCTATCTGGCTTTTTAAAAGAGTGTTTATTAGTCTCTTTTTGAAACTTTTTGTGTCCTTAGAATATCTGAGCGAAATCAATCGTTTCTAGTTAATAAGTAATTGTTGGATGTCGAAGACCAATCAATGGGGGGAGGAGAAGAATTCTGTTCTTTTTATGCGATTGATTTCATTGGTTTAATGTCACTTTATGATGCGCTCATCGCGTGGTCAAGGAAGTACTTCTATAAATAAATTGAACCGCTGCTTTGCTTTACCGTTGCTTGGGATTTTTATGAATTTCGAGTAAAGTCCTCATCAATTGAGGAGTGTCATTTTTCCTGGTTTGAGAGTCAACTGCCGCCAGGAATACACCTTGGGATTAATGATTACCTCCTGGGCAGCTATCGGGAAAAATGCAAACCGTAAATCTCGCACGTAATTTGACCAAACAACGAATGAGTGATGAAGGGATACATTTGACAGAGAATTGAATTGTAAGTGGCGAATATCAAATCAGTGGAGTCGAGCGATTGAAATTAGATAAAACTGAGAATTGACCAGAATCAACACCTCCCAGCACCAAATAACAGGCGTTAAGACTGAAATGACTTTAAGGGTGTTATCTAATTTGCACTGCAAGTAAGACTGCAAGAAAACTCGACAACTAACAAGATGACACACTCCTAAGTTTTAAAAAAAGTGAAACTCCTAGTGTTAACATGAAAAATCAGGCACTCTCGAACATTTGCTTTCTCCTCTTCCTCCCGCAACACTTGAAGAGTTTCAGTTGTTTATGCGTAACTCTTCTTTTTAATCGTTTAATTGTTTCCAAACATAGTCCCATATCATTTCAAGACCTGCCACATCAGAATCTGATTTTAAAAAAAAAAAACTTTTTCAGCTAGTTCTTTCTTTCTTTTTATTCTTTCCTTTTCTGGAAACAAACAAAGTAACTAGTGTTAACTGAAAGTAACATGACACACACAAACTATAAATACTTTAATCTTGATCCCTCAAAAGATGACGGTACACTAATATCTATGAAAATACAAGCCGTTAAATAGTTATACAGAAATAAGTAGTTAACACTCGACTCCTACAACAAGGAGATGTAAGTGACGTACAAACAACGTGTTTAACGCCCGCCATGGGGGGGGCATCCATACGCATTTTCACAACCTTTCTTCAGGGGCCACTCGTCATTTATAACCTGGAGGGGGAGGGGGGGGGGTCACATCGTTTTGAAGGGGAACAGAGGGGGATCAGTCGCCGCCGACAGAATATAAAGGGAGGACCATGGAAAATTAACTGCCAATTAACTGCCAATGAGGGGAGGGGGGGTTCGTAGGAATATTACAGAAGATATTATCGTTACACAATCAAAATCCTCTTAATGACCCCCCCTGCCTCTCAGGCAATAAGTAACGACTAGTCTCATATATCGAAACGATAGTACATCCTTAGCATCCCGCCCCCTCCCCCCTACATCCTTAGCATCCTCAGCCATGAGAGGGCTGACTGATGCAGACCATGAACTTCACACTTGTTCCTATAAAAAAAAAAAAGAAAACTTTTTAAGCCTTGTGCGCATGTTACCTTTGATAACAGCATAAAACATTGCAAGCCACATAGGTAGGACGGAAAAGCTGTTAATTTTTCTGTGGATAATTTTACATTTTCAAGCAAGCAAAGCTAAAATTTACGTTAAGCCCCATTTGAAGTATGAAGATTCTTTATTTTTTTACGTTGAGCCCTATTTGAAGTAAAAAATATTTTTAGCCCTATTTGAAGTAAAAAAAATATTTTAGATCTGTGTTGGGATCAAACCATCTGGCTTAAAACACTCTATGTCAGTTTTGGTAACTTACATCTATCTCAACTGCTCCTGGGTTTTCGGCACTCAGCCCTGGATTGTCATGCCCCATGTTGCACTCCTCAGAGCTTTTAACAAAGGAGATCATCATATCAGTTTATATACGTCTTATCGACATTACTAAAACCTTAGAATTCCCACTCAGTCTTAGAACCTTAATCATAGAATGGACTGGTGTGTAATTTTGAATACGTTGCAAAACAGACGAATATCTATAGAATGGATCTGAACGTTAATTTTGAGATCTTACAGTTACGCTAATGATATATAGAACTCCCACTCCAATTATAAGGTCAGTTGTAAATTACATAAATACCTAGGTTCTGCCTGATGTGAAAATCTGTTCGGGTATTTGTTTGCGGACACCATTTGTTGCGAGAACTAAACAATTCTGAGAGAGTGAGGCTAGCTGAAACCTGTTCGTTTACACCGTTTTCTCTGAGCTTTGGTCTACTGATACTGTGAGCTTTGAAGAACAGGTAGGACAAATTATTCAAGCAAAATGGAGGTTATAAAAACAACAGTCTCCCTCAGCGCAAATTTATCGCTCAGGGAAAACTGTGAGCTTCTCGGAAGGGATAATGTCAGAGGACAAATATTCGAGCATGGTTTCCGCGCCAAATAGAGGCTATTGATTATACAATTCCGACTTTTCCTTCATCGCATGTTGATGTTATATATTTCTGACTATCGACTGGAAGGATAATAACAGTAAGAGGCTAATGTGGTTCTACCTTAAGTCCTGGCTTGTCTTCTTGCATACTGAGAAGTTGAGAGAAAAGCAAGTGAGAGTGTTTAAAAGCATACAACATTTCAGCTTTATCTTTGAAATATGATAATTGAGCGAGCAATAATTCTTTCTTCTGTTCGGTTACTCTACAATGGATCAAGCAGCCTTCAATGAACTGTCGACATTTATCTGAGACGCCATTACGTTTTCGCCTTATTGCTCAATGTTTCATTGGAAAAAACTCGTTTCTCTTTTTAGCCATTATAAAAAGATTTACACGCCATAAAACAATTCAGTCACTAAATCACGCCGGTTTCGAGTATTGATCACTTCCCAAAAATGATACATTTTGTTTAGTTCTGTATCTTTTGTAATAAATTTGGTTTGTGCGCGCTCCACGGGAAAGTGCTCTCTCGGAGAAGTCGGTCTTCGACCCGACCATCGAGGTGAAATTAGTTTCGAAGAGGACAATTTTTTCACACAATTTTTTTACCTCTTTGTGAAATACTCAAGACAACTTACCTAGATGACAGGGCCGCCTATATTTGACAATCGCAAAAATTACCACCACCAGACTGCAGAAAAAAAGAACTCCCGCAATAATGCCATCAACGACTGCGTTGGATAACTGTTCTTCCTGATATTGCTCCTGGAATTCTTTCTTTGCTGAAATAAAAAGTTTTTGGAATCATTACACAAAAAGGGGTCAAGGAAATGCTAAAATATGTTTCCTATAGCAGGGTCGCAATGAATACCAAACACCCTGTAACTAACTGACAAAATTGTGAGAAAAGATCCAAACTCTTCCTTGCCTTAGGACTAGTTTGATGATGGTCTCAGATTCATAACGAAGACCAGTTTAGCAGTTTTATGTAGTTCAAGAGGATTTCAGTGTTGTAGGATAAGAAATATACGTGTGATCCTTTGGCAAAATAAAACCAGTATTTCATCTCACCTAAGCTTGTTGCTTTAATTTCCGGGATTTTTTGTAATTATCCTGATATCATACTAAGTTAGAAACATCACAAATACTAAACGAGGCCTTAGGTAGTCTAAAGTATTTGAAAGCTGGACCTTTTGATGGAGGTCTTTCCTAAATTCGGACGACATAGATTGGGCTCCAACATACAATAACTAATGCAAGCAAAGCTTAATATATATGTTTGCTTTCAATTATGTTAAAAAGGCAACCGAAGAAACATGTTTCGCCTTAACTCGGTATAATGATGGTTACATTCTTTGCATTCCCTACAGTAACTTACCTGTGTTCAAATTGGTTGTGGGTTTAGCTTCTACCCCTGTCTGGACTTCTTTTTCTGTGAACTCACCGTAACCCACCCTGTTCCGGGCTGCAACCCTCACGTTATACACAGTTCCACTCTCCAGATCGTTTACAGCACACATAAGTTGCCGTTGACCCGTGTGGACTCGAGTGCAGTTTTTTTGACTTTCTGGCTCACCCCTCATTGCTACAATTACCAGGTAATCTATAACAGGACTATCAGGAGTGGAGTCTAGTGCCTTCCAGTGAATTTCTATGCTATGAAGTCTTGTATCAATCTCCAGTCCCTCTGGTGCTGCTGGTACAACTATACCGAGTGCAAGTTATTAGGAACGAAAGTTAATGCTTTCCTTGTAATTAAATTAAAAAGTTAATTTGGCAAAGAATAAGAAAAGTTTCCCTAAATTGTACTTTTCCCAGCCATTTTGGTAGATTTTTACTTAAAAAGTGCAGGCATCAACTTTTTTCTCATTCTCACTAATGCTTCTATTTCATAATCAAGAGTATCAAGATGAATGCAACCCAACTCTCGCCCTACTATTGCATACAACAAGATAGTCACTTCATTTGGCAACAACATTGTTTTTTTTATAGACGTAAGATTTCTTACCTAAATGCTTTATTTTAATGATCTTTTTCACAGAACCAAGATGATTTTTTGCTGTACAAGTGTAGTCGCCAAAATCAGCGGTACTCTTGGGTTTAAGTAGAAGCTCACTAGTGCCATTTTCAGGCAGCGTAGAATGCAGCACCTTTCCAGCCTGGGTGAAGGTGATATTCGGGCTTGGAACACCATCCACCGCACACGTCACTTTGGTTTGGTGGTTAATCCAGGTGTAAATCGTCGTGTGAACTGTATATTTGATCTCGGGTTTATCTTGAAATTTCCGGTCAAGCATAAAGACAGATTAAAGGAAGCAGCGTTAACAAATCCATACCTCCTTCTCTTCCAATCCTCCCCCCCAAAATAAACTATGTTAAGATGTAAAAAACAATTATTTAATTAAACTATGAAAATAGCATTAGATCAAATCCTTTTTGCCGACCAAAAGAGCTTTTTCTTCATTACTAATTCGTCTATAACAAGTTCAGACTAGTTCTAAATTATTAAGTTGAAATGTAGGGTTGAATGAAATTGGAATGCATTCCGGAATTGATTTCTGTGGCCGTTTCAGCTTTGTAAAATGAAGCAAAAAGACCCCTTTGTTAAAGAAGATTGTGTAAAGTTAGTTATAAGTAAAGTAAATCATTACATTTCAGTTCTGATATCAAGAGTAAAAATCTATTATGATGTCTGAGCTTTCTGCAAAGGAATATTGGCAGTGACAATGAGTTGGCACTATTAAGTCGTTCGCAGAACGTCTCACACTCGAACTATCGGACTTGTCAAAAAATTAAGTTGAATTACAGTGGAACAATAATTGAGCTCTTACAGTTTACTGTAACTTGTATTGTGGTTGTCTTAGAAGTCGTCGCAGTATTGGATGCAGTACACTGATACGTTCCTGCTTGGGTTCTGCTGACATTGGACAAGGTAAGATATTGTTCATGTCCAACAATTCTTGCTTCAGATCCGCTTAAAAATGTCCACGTTATGTTTGGAGGAGGATGTCCGGTGGAATTGCAGAACAACACAATGTCATCATTTTCCTTGACTGTGGTGTCATTGGATGTATACTCAAATGATGGTGGAACTAAATGTTGAGAAATTGCGTCAATATTGTCATTGAGAGTGCTAAAGCACTGTAATAAAATTGTAAGCCCCTTGATACACTTATACAGTTAAAGTTGAAATGGTAAAAGAAAAATGTATTTTTAGAGATAAAAATGTTCCATCGACTTCTCTCTTCTTACAGTAATAAGCGGTACATCGTCTGATGGAGTATTGCTTTTGCTGATCCATTTTTGCCGTGGGAAAATTTCATACTCTGCCACTCGAAAAAGTATTTTTCTGTCACTATCCGTCATAATTGCTTAATCAAAAAATAAGGTACATTTTATCTCAATTTATTGTCCATGATAATGATAAAACCTAATTCATGGGAAAAAAAGTAGTTTGGCTCGTTGACACATCCTACCTCAGTGTCTTCATTTTCTATTCTCACCTGCTACAGTTAGGTATAGAGTCGCTATTTGTCCAGTTCCCAGGACGTTATGTGGCACACACTGGTACATTCCTTCGTCCGAGGCATTGACGCGTTCAATGGTGAACATTCCACCACTGAAGAGGCCTAGTGATGTGTTCTTGAAACGTAACTCGAGCGCTGGAGGCGGTACACTGTTTGAATTACAGAGAAAGGTTACCGATAGGCCTCGGATTGTTGTGTCTCTCGTAACATTTGATTTGAAACGGGTCTCAATTGGTTTACCTGAAGATGACGAATATCAAACAAATGATGTTAGTGTCTGCAAAACAACGAGAAGCTATCGATAATGGAAGAAAATATTTGACAGTTGCAACAGTCAAAGATTTACAACACGAACTACTAAAAAACCACATTCGAAGAGTCTTACGACAAAAAGGCAAGGCAAAATTTTGTTTTGTCTGTAGCAAAAACGACATAAACGTAAGTGTTTAGCAATGAATAGTCGTATCCCCTTGATTTAGAGAAGAGAGTTTTTTGGCGATTCAAATCAAATTGATATTTATGTCAACGACATTTCTAGCCCATGGAATAAAGTACCTTCGGTTTTTTGCAATATCTTTCCCTGATGTCTACATTAACCTCTTGATGAATTTTCTCTAAGAATATCTGGTAAATTTGTTGCTCGGTATTTTTGCCCATTTAGCAACAAATTATCTGGATGAAAACCTTTAACTTGAACCACTAGTATTATTCTTTTATGTGTATGAAAATACGCCATTATACCCTCGTTTCTGACAAAACTGTTATCCATTTGGAATCAAGTACTGTTGCGATATCCTTCTCCAGGTTTACATTAGACTTTTCCAGGAAATTTTCCTTATAACATGGGTAAAGTAAATGTTGCTTCAGTTAAGTAAAGTAATTAATGTTATGATGATATGACTCGCAGGGAGCACTGGGTAGAAATACTAGGTGCGGTGGGAATGCTTGAAAGTCTTTGGTTTGATGTTTGCATTTGGCGAATTTGTCCAACCTAACTCCCTACATTTTAAACTCTTTTCATGAACCTCGTGTTATTCTTTGAGTACGGAAATACATAATGTTAACCTCGTTTGGAACAAAACCAGCATTATTTTTACACTGGCTGACGAGGCTACTAAGGGGCCCGAAGACAACAAAAATAAACGACTAAACACTTGTTCATTCAGAAATTAGATAAAGCCGTTAAGAAAAATAACGTTGACCAGTTTCAACTAACATTTGTAATGGTCTTACATTAATTTCAACTCACTATTGACTGTAACATTGGCTGAAGCGAAAGCGTCAGTTCCAATTCCATTACTGGCTCTGCACTTGTAAACTCCAGAATCAGTTCTGCTCATATTCGTCACGTTGAGGGCTGTGCCAACTGTGAGTGGCACTAAAGAGTCCGTTTTCTTGAACCACGTGATTTGAGGAGTCGGATGCCCAGTGGCGTTACAGAAAAGCCTCAGGTTATCAGACTCATTAACTGCTTGACTGATGGGTTTGGTGTCAATGCTTGGGGGATCTATGGAAAAAAAGAAAAGAAAGCCATTGTTGTAAAACATTTTGGAAAGGCACTTCTTTTCAGCCCTTTTAAGCCAGTGTCAACAACGGAGTGAAATAAATGCATAGATCAGAGATGGATGAGTGACCGAAGGCCACAGGAAAAGATGTTCATAACGGATAATTAGCACAAAGGGGAACAAGGAGCCTCAAAGAAGTTTAAGAAATCAAAGTTCGAAAAAGCGTCTGTGTTTTGATTTTGCGTTATACTTTTGAGAAGATGGTTAGGGTTTTCTGGACTAATCATAGGGCGTTAAAGGGAAAGTACGGTCTAGAAAAAGTTTATCTCAATTAGAAGGACTTTTTCCTCAGGAGTTCCAAAATATCTGCCATTTTGTCCAGTTTGCTTTGTATTAGCGACAAGAACGTTTTGAAGTTGCCCAATTTTACCAATTTCATGGGTAGAAGAACGCCATCTTGGATATTACGTCAGTTGTGACGTAAACAGTCAAACTTTGTTCGGCGCTTTGTCCTTGTTGACCTGCTTTACCTGTGAAAACAATTTCTAATACTCCCAACAGCTGAAATGAGGTGAACTGTCGTGTGGTTGAATTTCAAAATACATACTAAAATTCAAAAGGAAAAGGTGTAAGCCTCCACAGACTACCGGAAAGTGAAATATTAAAGAAAAGTTACCCGGCGAAAATAACCCACGAGGACGACTTGCCAAACCCTACGAAACCTCAGAACTTCCAGCGAGATATACGGGCATGTAAGTTTTCCTTGTCAACCTTCGCTTCAAACTGAAAGCTATGCTTACCTTCTCCACATTCAACACAAATTTCAGTTATTTATTCCATGAATTTTTTCAAACTATTTTATTGTTAGCGAATAAATTGAAGCTCGAAATGGTGGTACACCGTGTGTGGTAAACTCTCGGTCGCCACCCTTGACCAAAGCCGATTTTCAACATCGTGCGCTTTTCCAAGCAGTGTATTAATATATCTTGTCTTTCCTAAGTCTGTTATGAGTCCACCGACTAAATTTTCTTTACCCCACCAGTCGCATTCTCCTGCGAAAAAAAACTAAATGACATTTGCCGGCAAATAATCAAGAGACACCTTTGCGACAAATACAAATTATCCTTCGTTAGGCAGGGGCCCATATTTCACTATATCATATCGATTGGACACGATAAAAATAATAGGAAAATATTTTATGTCTTCCAACCAACTGCTTGACGTAATTAACCAGTGCTTATGATTTCAAAAGAAATCGAAAGTAATTTCTAATGTAAACACTGTATGATAGAGGCGACTTTTTGCCGGCGCGCGTCGAGAATAACTAAGCGCTACTTCTCACAAGTCGCGACATTTCAAACACTTCAGAATGAAAAATACTGTGTTATAGTTAATTCTAAGCAACAAATATAGAAAAACCATTGCAAATTACAGGCAAATGCTGAAAAAGACAAAATTTGATTGGTAACAATTAACGACCTCCTTTTTTCATTTTTGGTAACTAAATGTCTAATCAATTTTGTCGGTGTTTACGCATACGAAGAATGATCTTCAAGTCTATCATTTCTAACTTGTTGCATGCTAACTGGGGCTGTTTTTAGTTCCAAATGGCTCGTGTTTAGTTATACACCGAAGCTGGGTTCCTGTAAAGGAATCCGTCGCGGGCACTGCGGTCTTCTTTAGCAAAATAACTATCACTCTACAGCTTGGATTTGTTTGTGGAAAAGACCTTTGCCTTTCAAATTGAGTCGGTGTCTTAGTACATTTAATTCTTAGGAGCATGCATTGTCGTTTTCCGTTGGTTTCTCACTACAATTACTGCAGGAGAACCACTCGCGATTTCCCAGACGTGAGCGACTGAGCGGGTCGACGTTTTTTCTTGAGACTCATTTTCCTGACTTTCTGTCTCTTTCTCCTCAGCAAAGGTATCTCCTTCCCCATGCTGAAGGCGAGCCATGTCTCGTTTGAAACTCAAATGGATGTATTACACCCTCTCGGCTAGATTAAAATCAAAGTCGAGAATTCAATAAGTGGCGCTCTTCTCACCGGTTTTCTTTGTTTACATCCACTTCAGCAGCGATATAAATTGAGCTTGCTTGACTATTGATACTTCAAACATCAAAGATGGCGGATTTGAATTTGGAAATGCCGAATTTTGGAACGTAATCGTTCGCAACTAAACCGCGTTTAGCTCAAATAAATACCCAATTAGGACAATGCAACAATGCAAGCAAAGAAATTTTCATGTAAGTAAACTTTTTCCAGACCGTACTTTCCCTTTAAGGATCTGAATCGTGTATAATATAATTTCATCTAAATATTTTAAAGTTAGTTCATCTAACACCAGACGTCATTGAGTACTTAAAGTAAACATGAGCGAAACTCAGTTGAATTTCACCTGGCAAAATAGATCGATGCACCAAATCCATTTAAAATTTAAATTACCATTTCGTTCAGATTTGAAAATTACAGTGGTATTGGATTAATTCGCATATAGTAGTAAGTCATTACTCAAATGTGCGTTAGTTAGATACCGTAATATAATTAGTTAGAAGCTAATTAAAGTTCTTTCTTTTGACTCACAGTTTATCGTCACACGCACGCTGTCGTTCCTTGGTCTCTTCACACCATTGGCTGCACTACACCAGTACGTTCCGGATTGGTTTCTCTTGACATGAGACAAGGTTAAAGTTTCTTGAGTTCCAATGATCCTCCCATCCAAGCCAAATACCCACGTAATTTTTGGAACAGGGTTTCCAGTTGAGTTACAGAACAGAGTGACATCATCAGTCTCATTCACATTGGTATCATTGGTAATATACTCTATTGACGGTGGAACTAAAACGTTGTTAAATTTTAGTTTAAAGGATCAATATTGGACAGTGTTAGAAGTAGAATTTGGGGCTTACTTTCCCTTTTGGTACACTTCTGTAGGCCTCACGCCTTAGTGGACCAAAGCGCTATTACTTGAAAATCTGGATATGTATTTGCATAGGGGCTTCCAGATTGTCTCAAGGATGTACCATCCAATTGTATAACAAGAACAATAAGCGGATACTATATTTTAATAAAGGAACGTACGAAATTTACACCATCAATTTAAGGAACAGATATTGATCAGCAGCGCATCATGTCCTTCGTATGGGATCTTACGTTTAAAGAAATACTTTTCCCACGTTCAAAAAGTGTTGTAATCTAACAGCTTCAAATAGAGACGTAACTTAAAAAGTGCTGCGCAACGATTACACTGAACAAAGATTCTGAGGTCTTGTTCAAACACTACAATTTATATTCCCTTATTCATAACATTTAAAATGAATAGGGTTTTGTGGTTGGATATTTGTGATTATAGACCTGCATCATTCGTGGGTTAAAGTCGTGGGGCTCTTTCTCGTTGTTTCCTTCGTATAGCTTATGTTATTTTCTCTTATCCCATTTCAACCAATCAGTAAATTTGTTTTTTTTTTTTTTTATATCAAATTGTTATCCATGTCAACAACATTCCTCATCTAAGGAATAAAGTACTGTTGTCATATCTTTCTCCAAGGTTTACATTGACACTTTTCAGGCATCTAATATTTTCCTCTACACATTTAACGGTGAATCTTGAAGACTAAATATGAAGGAAAATCGCCCAATTTACCTCTGTTTTCAACTTTATACTTACATTTAACGATGACCCTGACAGAAGCTGTGGCTGTACTGAGACCATTATCTGCCATGCACCAGTATAAGCCGTCCTCTTCTCTGGTTATATTTTTTAATGTTAAGGAAGATGATGGTCCAAAGTTTTTGGCTTTCTTGCCTGATCTTGTCCACGTAACATTAGGAGTTGGTATGCCAGTTGTATGGCAGGTGATGATCAAATCGTCTCCCTCAGTGGATGTCCAGGTGGAGTTTTTCGAGATGTTAACAATTGTGGGACGTTCTATAAAAAATATGGAATTTTGAAAAGCCCCGAAAACGTCATTGATTCGCAGATCCACTCAGAAGCATTGAAGCATAGAATTGAAGAGAGTCTCCAGAGTGAATATCAAAAAAAGAAGGCATCACTCAAGAATTAATTAAGCCAAGCCTTAGCGACATAAGCGACCGATTAAGGATACGGTAGACCTTCGAGGGACAGTTTTTTTTCTATGTCAACCCGGGTATTATTATTTTAACTATAGTGCTCATCAAAACGTTTGGTAAAATACTGAAAAGCACGCGAGTTATTTACAAAAATGTGTTTTCCAACTGTATTCTTTAGCTCCGATGGATATCTTGCAGCAAAACATCCTGGTCGTTGAATTTCAATCGCTTCAACATTTCCTGATTTCGATTGCGCGCGGAGGTCTTTTCTGTCTGTCTGCGTTTGAAACGAGAATGTGAATGGAGAATGATAAATAAGGAGAAGAGTCCACAGGTAAAGTTAAAAAAGAAGGCTGGCCGTGAGCACAGGAAGTGATGAAATTTGACGCGGAATGGCTAACGAGTCTTACCAAAACGGTTTAGGGAGGCCTCTAACTTTTGGCTAAACAAACATTCAATTTTTTTTAACTGTTTAGCTGTCATGATATGCAAGATATGTCTGGAAAATTTTCATCGGGAGAAATTTTTAGTTCGCTCGTTAGTTTGACATGCGATATCAGAGAAAATAGATATGAGAATTATGATCAACTGTTTCTTTACAGTCATTTTACCGAATATTGGTCAAATCAATAAAGGACTACTAGTGTTGGAAACTGGACGATACCTTAATTAGTTTTAATTTGTTTGACATTCTAAGTGATTTCGTTGATCTATTACATAACCAAACAACATTTATGCGGCACGTGTTTTGCTCATATATGGCCATGTTCCACGAGGCTGTAATAGAACATAGTTAGTAGCTCCCTCTACTAACTATGAATAGAACGCCTTTAGTGTCATTTTATTCCAATAAACACTGTGAGTAATATGTAACCGAAGGGTTGTAGCAAAACTCTAAAATGAAGTGACTAACCCGTGACTTGATAAGTAACCGTGGTACAACTTTTCCACGTTTTCGACACTAGATAATTATTCCATTTTAAAAGATTGTCAGACTAAGCTAACCATAAGTTCAATAGAGGAGAAAGTGAATGGGAAGATTATCTTACAATTAGAAACTTCAATGTAGTTTTCGGACGAGTAGGTTTTTGGAATAGGGAGACTTCGTGATTTTTGTATGAGACACCTTATTGTGAGGCTATATTTCTGTGTCAGTTACTCTTATACATGAACAGCAATCAATCAATCAACTTGGGACGAACAATTTCGCAGGTAACGTAAGAAAAAAAAAAAAAAAACCAAACAAACAAACCTGCACGGGATACGAAAGATCGGTTACTATTGGACTGACGACGAATTCTGACAAACTACATCACCTAACATGGAAGGAAATTGAAATTTACAGACGGTGTCCTTTCGCTTTTATGTTGTTTTATTCCCGATGTTTGCAGTAGATTCTATGATTGTCATTTGTGCTGTTTACCTTAAGATAAAAGTTTGAAGTAGACTTCAAAATCTGAATATTGATTCAATAAATGGGAAAAGTAATCATAACCAAGATTTGTTGTTATTTGACTCAAGCTAATCTCGTTTTTAGCCAATGGGTCGATCTGTTTAAGTTCCGTTTTGTCGAATCATCCGTCAGCATACGGAAACTGTTCTTCATTGTGCAGCTTAAAAAACTCTAAGTACATTATCATTACTGTTTGCGATACCGTTTTAAATATCATCCATTCTTCTCTTTTTTAGATTTGTGAAACAAATAGGCCTGCCAGTCTCGATATTATCGATATGATCTAGAGGAACGAATCATCAAACTTGACCTTTCGTCCATAAATAGAAAATGAAAGATGTTTTGTGTACTCGAAATCTAATTTCGATCCAATAAAGTAGTAAATTCCATTTTACTATGATTCTTTAGACAGAAGAAGGAAGAAAAACAACTAGTTAGAGATTTAAAATGTGCGATTCGATTCAATGGAGAGAGTACAAACTAATCTTACCCAAGATTTCAATTTTAGCGCATCTGGGGTTAGGCAAATGAATAATTCCATCGTCATTTGTTGACTTGGATGGGATCTTTGTGGAGACCTTCAAGCAAAAGTCAGCTTTGTCGTCCTCTCTCTGTAAGTTGATTAATAAAAATGTCGGAGTTCCAGCGGCCAACATCGCCACCTTCCCTTTAAATTTTTGGTAGATCACTATACCCTTGCCGTGACTATATTTAATCATATCATCTGAGGAGGATCGCAACAAAACAAAACTGTCCAAAGTTTCGTTGGCGGATGAAATGGTAAAATTCCATTCAAGTGTAACGTTTTCACCGAGTATTCCTTTAACAGTTGTAGGTTCTTTGTTCCAGTGGAACGCTGCAAAAGAAAAAAAAGTTCTTCTTAGTAGCCTTCTATGATTTGTTGTTGGGAATTCCAAAGTTCACGGCGCCTTTGGTGCTGAAGCACAAACCTGATACTGGAAGAGATAGCGTCGTCAAACTCAAAAAAATAATCACACAACGGTACATGTTCTGCAACATGCAAGACCTAACAGGTTTGGTGAGAGCCATCTCAGCGGCTGCCTTAATACGCCGTTAAAAGTTAAATAATTACTGAGTTCGTTCTGATGTCGTTTGCTTTCCATCCGCAGAGGTCATCGACAGAATGTTATCTGATACAATTTCCTTAGGTTTTAAGAGCGTTTTTCTGACTTTAATCAATGTTTGACATGTTAATTCAGACGCTAATCGTGTCAAACAGTCTGCTGTGGGCTAGACGGTGATTTTCCCGTAATTTAGAGCATTTTCGTTTCGAAAAGGGATTTTTTTTATTACGAAGGATTTTGAAATAAACCACAAACGTACTCCTAAAATTATTTAAGGTACAGTAAACGATTTTAAAAATTCGCACGCGGCGATATAATTAAAAAATTTTAAATTGGAAGTTATAAAAGCTTCTAATTTTGAATTCGATGCCAACTGCAAGGACCAGCTTGCTCGACAACCTTTGGCAAAGAATTTATAACGTCGAAAGAAAACATTAAGATATTCTGCGGGGGGGGCTTTAGGTCGCTCATAACACATTGATTCTGGGTCAGTTTCTGTAACAGACAAAAGTTGTGCCGCGCCGATCTTGAAAGGGAATTGTCACATATCGGATAAGTTTCAAAGCCAACGAGAGGTGTCCTCAAGGGCTTTTTACTAGGCTGCACAGTCGTGCGAAAAAGAAAAAAATAAAACGCTGTAGAGTATATATAGTATAGTTTTTATGCACCAGACCCTCTTCTCTTGTAATATTATTTTGATCTTTCTACAATTGAACAATGGGCAAAAAAATTGCTCATGCAATTTAACCCCAACAAATGTTTTGTTATGAGAGTTACTAGGAAATCTCATCTAATAATTTTCGATTACAAGCTAATGGGTCATACTTTGGAGTCTGCGTCACACTAACCATACCTTGGGGTGGAATTGTCAAGTTCACTAGACTGGAGTCATATTGATATGAAGACTAATAAGTCAAACAGAGCTTTGGGTTTCTTAAAAAGGAATCTTGGAAAATGTCCTGAATCTATCAAAGAAATGTCATATAAATCCTTAGTTCGACCGCATCTCGAGTATCCAAGCACAGTCTGGAACCCCTGGAAGGACAAACACATAAATCAAATTGAAGCTGTTCAAAGAAGATCTGCACGTTTTGTAAAAAATTGTTGGGAGCGTAAACCAAGGACTGTGTCAAATCTTCTAAATGTTTTGGACTGGCCTCCATTACAGAAAAGAAGAAAGTCTGCACGTTTAACCATGTTCTACAAGATTCTCCATGGCGAAGTCCAGATGGAACTCCCAAATTATATCAAGAAGAAAAACCGTCAATTAAGATCATATCATAAGGATAAATACATAGAAATAAAACCGAACACTGAAACGTATAAGAATTCATTTTATTGTAGAACAATCAAAGACTGGAACTCCTTACCAAATAGTGTTTTAGGAATTGATAAATTAATTAATTTTAAAGATGCAATTAGGGGNTTTTACATTTTTTATCTCATTTTGTTAATTATTATTGTTATTTTATGTCTTGCGTGATGGCCCCCCTTTGCAAGACTAATAAATATAGATGTAGATGTAGACGACTTTGTTTAGGGAAGGGTTGCTGAAGAGGAATGGAAAGAGAATTTCCGTATGAATCGCAAGACGTTCATGAAATTAGTTCGAGAGCTCAATTCAAGAACAAGTGCAAGCATGGGAATGAGTACATCAGTGGTGGTATCGCTTGCGTATGTGGAAATCAGCTATGAAATCGTCACATTTCGTTATGTTAAAAGGCTTCACAAAGAGCAACTCGGGGGGGGGGGATGAAACATAAAGACAAAGTAATTCTTTAAGGCATAAATTTTACATGGCCACTGCTTTCATTGCTTAATTCTCCAAAATGATTTGGGCATTCATCCTTTGTGTAGGAAATTGTCCCGTTTATGAGTGATGGAGAAAAACGAAAATATATAGAGATGTCGTAAGAATAGGACCAAAGAAAATAAGTTACGAAACAAAGAAAAACTTCTCAAGTACCTAGATTAAGGTAAATTGTGTTTTTCTATACCGCACAGTTTGAGTTTTTACTCCAGCCAAATTTAAGCAGAGAAACCGACGAAACTTCGATGAGGAAATTTGAACAAAATCTCCCTAAAATTTATCCTAAAAAACCTCAACTTACACGGAAAGAAAACAACGCCGACTCATAAAGAAAACGTAACTCAAAGCATAGTTAGTAGAGGGGACTACTAACTATACTCAAAGCTATGAACAGGTCATTAAAATTTCCTTATAGCAACCTTCCCTGGTAGCCCTTTAAAAATTTGAGAATGTGTGAGTAGGCTGGTTGCGCCCTTACTTACATCGGACGTGATCACGAAACTCGATTCTTATTTGACTTTACTGAAATTGGGGGCATCTGTTACAATTAGCCTTCACAAAAAATTGTAAACTGCTGCAAGTAGTCTGTTAAGACTGTTAAGTCTTCCACAAAACATTTTGATGCGCCTTTGATCATATCCCAACGTTAATTTGCGCAATATAAATATTAAATTATTATTATTATTATTATTTTATTTTTTTTGTTATGTTTTGGCGTTTTCAAGAGACCACACGTTGAAACAACGACTACGATGCAATTTTATGGTTTGTTTACAGATTTAATGTATATAACTACAAAAGCAGTAACATATTCCTAGACTTTCGAAATTTCCTTTCGATTATTAAACCAAGAGAAATTATCAAAATGTTTTTCGACTGACATATAGTATCGAACCGACATTTCGAACAAAAAACTTTATTCTTTTTAAAATCGTTCTCATGATGTATAACTCATTATTTGGTAAGGAAAAACAAATAAAACAAAATCAGTATTTTCGAAGAAAAAAGTATACAGTAAAACCTAAGGAGCTGAAAGCAAAGCAACCTTCCCCCCTCTCCCCAAGACGGTGAAGTTTTCGTTCACTCCGAAGCGAACGTGACGCGCACATCAATCAGCTCCAAAGCGGTCCGTTTAGGGAAAACCTGCGCCGTTTACGGGCGCGTGACAGCCAATAGATTTCGAAAATATCTTTCCCATCGATGATTTCCTTTTATTTTTCTTTCGACCATAACAGAATAAACACACCATACATAACAAAAAGTTAAAGGACACATAAACATGTCCTTGAAAATTTCGCCCACTCTAGAAGGATCTGTGACGGATTACGACATCAGCCGGATACAAGCTGGCGTGACAAAAATAGATCATTACCGACTGATTTAGCATATCTCTTGTTCAGTGTTAAGAGGTGTGCACATTCCTCAGTGTATGTTCATATCTTAATAACTACGTCAGTGTCTCATCTACATTACAAACGGAATTATTTCGCATCAGGAAGGTTAAACTGTTCACGTCAATCTCTATTACTCAAAATCGATTTTATTATTTAATCGAACTCTTCCAAAGTGACGATGGTTGTTCATCTTCTGCTGGTTTTCTTCCTGTGGTCACAGATTTCATTTACAGGTAAGTTTTCGAACCCGTATGCAAATGTTTACGTAGTTTTCACAATCGTCCCTAAACTGTTCGCCACATAACGCTGAAAGGTACTGAGCAACGATTGTTTCAACCTTGCAACATGATAGCACCGAATTTTTCACGAATGATGCCGCCTCTCTGTCTGAACTACGATGAACTATTTCATTTATTTTAGGGATTCTTGTCGAAGTATTAACCTTTGGAATAATTTGCATACTTGTTAATAATGCTTGAGTGAAAAACATGCAGACTTATAGATGTTTATTTAGCTGACAAGTTCATGATTATGGGGAGTAATTTCAAGTGTAAATCTGACAAAATGATTCCATGAAATGACAACTTAGTGAAGTACTGATGTGAACATCGAAAACAAACTTTCGTGTTATTTCTTTGCTACTCTATAGTTCAAGTTGCCAATTCTTGCGAATCGTTCGTTTTAGTATTCAAACCCGGGACGATAACGCGAAATCTGTGGCGCTTTCCTCTTATTTCTAAATTATAAGCTGCTTTATAAAGTGTCAGGAAACGTGTTCATAACTCCGACAAAAATTCGACATGCGAAAATGATAAATTTATGCGGAGTGATAAATTTATTCTACGTGACTACATTTGTTTGTTTCGTGTTTTATTCGGATTTACATCATGCTTATGAGTTATTTTGAATGGTAGCTTTGGGCCAGTAGCACGGATTTGTAAAGCAAATTTCCTGCATTGTTTGCCGAGATGAAATCCTATCTGACCTTCATTTTAGCACACAAAATGTTAAAACGTTAGAGAAATTTAATATTGCACCTGCAGCTTATGATGTTGATGCCATCAATTTGGACATTTGTCGCTGTATTTATATTGCTAAACTCTACGTCCAGGCAACAGGATAGCCGAGAAAGAAAAAAAAAGGCTTGATTTAACCTCGATTTTCGCCACTCTCCACGAGTCTGGTTTCATTTCCTGCTTAATAGCAGCTGGTTGTTAAGATTATTTAAAAATGAGCTGTAGATTACATTAGTGAGATATATTTTGAATAAATAATATATTGTTGAACAATTATTTGGTTCTTAGCCTGAGAACAATTTTTTCTCTCTCTCTTCGGATAAAAGAGTAAAAAATTACGAGTAGGAGCTTGGTTACATGGGGGTTCAGGTAACCGGTTGTTTGTGGGTTGATGCCCACCGATGAGGCGTCACTCAAGTTAGGTAAATTGAATCACTTCGTCTTCCCGCGTTTTGACAACCGCACTTGGCAGTCTATTCTAAGAGAGGCGTCTTCTTTCGTTATATTCCACATCTTTATTGGTATTATCGAAATTAACAAAATTAGTACATTAATGTCCGAGTATAACTGTTACGGCGCCATTTTATAGGCATATTTGACTCTCTTTTTTGTATTTTCAAACCAATAGATTCTCTTGAATGGGACGTCAAGCAACCTAGTAATGTTCGCAAAGGATCAACCGCCACACTGGAATGGACAATATCACTTACAACAGAAGAGAAAACGAATGCAGATCGCTTTTCTTTAATTATAGTGGAGCGTGAAAAGTTTCTTTACAGCAACGAATGGCAGATGATGGCTGTGAAAGGGTATCCTGGTGAAATTCACCAAAAAGTTGGAAGTGAGAACACTTTTGAAGTGATTCCTGGAAAGGACATGGCATTCAGACTAAAAAATGTCACACACACCGATGCCACTCGCTTTCGCTGCACATTTCTCAGCTCATTTGCAGCACCCAAGAGTATCATTCAGGTGGAAATGGAAGGTACATGTCTGTCTAACAACACCCATGCGGAAGAAACACGCCAAGAAAATTCCCTGTCACCTTAACCCATGCATGCAAAGCTTGGATTTGATGCATGTGTCGTTTTACCTTTTTTGCTTTTAATTTTTTTTAATGCTAGTTATTCTTGTATCATATATTTCGGAACATTGATTTCATCATACAACTTACTTGGCTTGTTTTTCTGTTTGTTCGTTTCTCATTGCCGTCCCTAGCAATGTTATGATGTTGTTATATGTCTTCGAACGCTCATCAAATCCATTCTTGCAACTTGTGCATTGCAAACTTTCTTGCGAACAGTTAGCATTAAGCTAAACGTTTGGTTGGTTTGGGTTAAAGTGGTAAGTCGGATAAACTCACTCTCACGTTGTCGTTCTCTCTTTTGTTTTAGGGGTTCCTGTAAAAGTTCGCCTTACGGGTGGAGCCTCTCCTAATAGGGGAAGAGTAGAAGTATATCGAAATGGACGTTGGGGAACTATCTGTAAGAATGGCTGGGATATGCCAGACGCATCAGTTGTTTGTCGGATGTTGGGATTCCCTGGGGCTTGGACAGCTGGTTGCTGCACCAAACAATCAGGGGGCCGTGATCCGATTTGGTTGAGTGATCTATCTTGTACGGGTCAAGAGAACACTTTATCCGAATGTAAACATAGCGGGTGGGGTGTCCATGACTGCGATCATACCCAAGATGCTGAAGTTATTTGTCACAGTCCAGCAACAGAGAAACCCACAAAGAGACCCTTACGAATTTCTACTTCCCCTGCATCTCAAGTGAAAATGTTACCAGGTAGCTCTTATGAAATAGTCGTTCCTTCAGTGGTATCTCCAAGTTCACCTTCACTGACTGTGATGCAGAGCTCGACCACTCCAACCTCTCCACCCGGTATGTCAGCACTACATTTTTCTCTTTCCTCAGTATTTATTTTTTAAACAAACCTTCTAGTTTTCCCCATGCATGCATTTGAGCCGTGTACGTGTGATTCTATCGGACTCCTTTTCATTGTCGAGCATCACGCACTGGTTGCTTAGTAAGAGAGGAGAAAAGTGCCCTTTTATTTCTATAAAAATACTGAATTTCTTTTATGAGAGAAGTAAAATGACTGCAGGATTGAATCATATTAAGAATGCGTTCTTTCCATCCAATTCAGGGGAGCAGGGATGGCGCAGGGATGGCGCAGTGGTGAGAGCACTCGCCTCCCACCACTGTGGCCCGGGTTCGATTCCCGGACCTGGCGTCTTATGTGGGTTGAGTTTGTTGTTGGTTCTCGTCCTTGCTCCGAGGGTTTTTCTCCGGGTCCTCCGGTTTTCCTCCCTCCGCAAAAACCAACATTCTAAATTCCAATTCGATCTGGAACAGTGGACAAGAATAGCCACCCAGTGGATGTCCATTGTTAAATCATTATTTATTTATTTATTTATTTATTTATTCAACAGCTCCGATAGTGCGCTTGAGAGATGGCGACTCTCCTGGTTACGGACGGGTAGAGATCTATTACAATGGTACTTGGGGTACAGTATGCGATGATAATTGGGATATTAACGATACTGCTGTAGTTTGTCGAATGCTGGGCTTCAAATACGCTTGGACTGCCATCTCATTTGCTGTAGAAATAACCACAGACGACCTGGATCTTTATGGTACAGGACCCATTTGGCTCGATGATGTTAACTGTTTCGGAAACGAGAGTTCTCTAAACGAGTGTGGCCATAATGGCTGGTTGGTTCATAATTGCGATCACCTGGAAGATGCAGGAGTTTGGTGTGCTAATACATCAAGGGAGGCGGATATTCCTGAATCAACAGTGGTTCTTGATAATCACAAACCTATTGGACCACCTTGTAAGTACCATAATTGTGCTTACTTATCCCTGAAAAACATAAGGAAAGATTTTATATGATTGTCTTAAGTCGATTAGACATAACATTTTTCCATATGGCTAACCTTCGTGAATTAGAGTGAAGGTCAGAAGTTCGATTTCTCGTAATAGGACTCAGATTTCTTTCTATTTCGCATGTAACTTGTAACTTCCTTTTTTGTTATTCGGAAACTCAGTGTAGTACCACCTCAGAAAAAGTCTGTTTTAGGTTTTTCATCATTTTTCATCATTTTTTATCGTATCTTTCAAATTCTTTATAAGTTTGAATTTATTGTTTTTTATCTTTTTTCCTCACCAAAGCTGTTCAAGTTCGATTAGTCAACGGATCAAGTCATCGGTAAGGTAGGGTTGAGGTTTTCTACAAGGGAGAATGGGGAACTGTGTGCAACCATGACTTTGACATTCGAGATGCAGAAGTGGTATGTAGAATGATGGGCTTCTCTGGAGCGGTATCTGCAGAGATAGGAGGAAGATTCGGTCCTGGAAATTCCAATCAGAAGATTTTGCTCGATGACTTGTGGTGCACTGGACAGGAGACTTCATTAGCTACCTGTTCATTCAGAAGATGGGGATCAAGTAATTGTAATCATAGCGAAGATGCTGGTGTAATTTGCAAGGAGAAAATTAAAGGTAATTCCTTAATGCTGTTAATGTGCAGTTCTGCAAGGAAAATACACTGTCCAGTCTTGCTAAAATTTATTAATTTTTTCGACTGAGCTACTGTGGGTTAAAACCTACTTTGTTTTGATTTAATAGCTCCAATTGTGAGACTAAGAGATGGAGATGAAACGCATGGCCGGGTAGAGATCTACCACGATGGAATCTGGGGCACAGTCTGCGATGACAACTGGGATATCAAGGATGCCACCGTAGTTTGTCGAATGCTTGGCTATAAGTATGCTTGGCAAGCATTCTCATTCGGTGTGTTTATGAAACAACAGAACGCAAATGAATTTTACGGAACAGGGCCCATTTGGCTCGACAATGTTAATTGCCTCGGAGTTGAGAGCACCCTCATTGAATGTGGTCACAATGGTTGGTTGGTTCATAATTGTGATCATGAGGAAGACGCCGGAGTATTTTGCGGTAATTCACCACCGCCAGACGGATTGGCAGATTCAACAGTAGTGAATGATACTAACAAACCAGTTGGACCACCTGGTATGTACGCTCTGTCCAATGCTTGGGTTGTTGCTTTGCCATCTGTTGTACGGTGAAACCTCTATTAAAGGGTCACTCGCAGAAAATGAAAGTAATGCATGATCATGTAGGACCTCTTTGAGTTTTCATGCTTTTCCTTTCGCAACATTGGGATAGATTTATGAAGAATTTATCTTATGTATCTCAATTCTTTGGAAACATAGGAAGGGTGACCACGACCGGTATTAAGAGTTTAAGAAGAAACTTTACTCTTTCAGTGACATTTATTTTTAAATTTATCACTACAGCTGTTTATGCACGATTAGTGAATGGGTCAAGTGATAGAGAAGGTCGTGTGGAGGTCAACTACAATGGTGAATGGGGAACTGTGTGCAGTGATCTATTTGATATTCAAGATGCAGACGTCATTTGTAGAATGACGGGCTTTCCTGGGGCTGTCTCTGCTGAAGTGAAAGGAAGATTTGGCGCCGGACATACTAGCCAGAAAATTTTACTTGATGATTTATGGTGTACAGGGAAAGAGTCTTCGGTAGCTTTGTGTTCATTCAGAGGGTGGGGGTCACATAACTGCAGCCATGATGACGACGCCGGTGTTGTGTGCAAAGAGAAATATCCAGGTACATGGAAGGGTTTGGCTCGTGTATGTTCGTGCATTTACTGTAAGCTTTAGAGTAAAAAGGGAACGTCACTTTTCAGAGAAGGGGAACGAGAAATACGATCATGTTAACTGCGTTGCCATTGGAACGCATGAATAACGCCTTCGGTAAAAATTAACACATATTCTTCAGTTGGAAAAGTGCTATGGAATATCGTGCATTTTTATATCCAAATATTGTTACATCGGAAATATTGCTCATAACTTCATACAACCACGCCTTTTTTAGGTGGAAAAATAAATGTTCATGAGCCCGATTTATTTCACAATTCATAGTATGATTTCTGATATTTTCGCTAAATTTTATGAAGCAGCTGCACGTGGAGCTGTACAATACTATTTTCTAAGATTCTAAAATTTTACAATTTCCCTACTTTAGCAAGTGTCATTTGATTCTTCAAACTTTCTATAATAGAAAGGCCAGCCTCCTGGACTTTGGACAATGCAAGACAAAGCATTAAGTTGGCCAAAGAAATAACACTCTCCCCTAAACAATGATTTGTTACTATTTATTATCAGTGATAGAGCTTGAGCTGTTAGATGGATTTTTCCCAAATGAAGGCCGTGTTTCACTTTTCTACAATGGCCAGTGGGGTACAATATGTCAAGATCATTGGGATTTGAATGATGCCCACGTGGTGTGTCGAATGCTGGGTTACCCGGAAGCTTTTGGCTTCTTCAACAGTACAATCTTTGGGAGTGCTATTGATGGGCCAATATGGCTCGATGATGTCAACTGCACGGGAAATGAGAGCACGCTTGCAGCTTGTCCACATGCTGGCTGGGGAAACAGTAACTGTGATCACACTAAAGATGTGGGAGTGGAATGTGCTTATGATTACACTGTGAATGCAAAGGGTAAGATTGTCATGTTAGTAATCGCTACAATAACTTCTAAATTTTGTTGGGTGTGACAGTGGTATGTAAAGAACCGAAGAAGCATCTTTCTCTGGTAAAAATAAGCCTTTTTGACAAGCTATAAAAAGAAAAATGTTCGCTATATGTTTGAACTGATAGACACGAGGAATAAAATCTTCTGACCAACCCATTTAGCCTCTAATTCTATTCCCCATCAACTGAAATTTGATTAAAATCTCGAACATAAAACAGGAAATATGGTCTTTTCATCTGTCCTTTATTAAATCGTGCAGTATGACGTCCTAAGATACCCGTTTAGGATGAGAACACTATTGCACTCAGTTTACACAAGAGTTAGTACTACTTTTCCGTTTAGCTCATATCATCAACGTTTGTAAGCAACGGAATTGCTTTTTCAGATGCAAGTTGTAATTTTGACATCTGGTATTGTGGCTGGGAAACTTCAGCGGACAGGTCGGGTCCCGCATGGACAAGAAAATTTGGTCCAACTATAACAGACAACACAGGGCCCTCTCAAGATCGCACCTCTGGATTTGGTAAGAACGGTTGGTGTTTTCTCTTCTCCTGCGATGTTTTATGCTGAGAAACGTAATCCGTTACGAGTAGTCATTTTCTAAAAAAATTTTCAGCGAGTTTTCCAAAAAGTGCTGCACCATTTTTAAAATCGTTTTAAACTTAAGGTGTCGCTATTCTAGGGTATACTTTTAAATAGAGGGTCAAATTTATTTAGCCATATAGTCCACTGCATTACCTGCAGATAGATAGATCAATACCCTACACGCTTTTATTGCAGGATTTTACGTGTACGTGGAGGCCTCCGGACAAACCGTCGGTGACGTTTCGACAATAGAGTCTCCAAACATAGCTGGCAATGGAAACACAACGTGTATGGTGTTCTATTATCATATGTATGGGCAGTCTATTCATACACTCAGAGTGGTGGTTGAGGATCAAGTTTTGTGGGAGCTGTCAGGCAACCAGGGAAACGATTGGCACAAAGCGACATTGCCTCTTTATTTTAACGACACCTATAGGGTAAGATAGTTTTACTTTTTCAGTGATCCACAAAATTAAAACAAACAAGTAATGTATTGCCGCAAGCGAAGTTATTCCTTTGTAATTGTTATGAAAGCACTACATGCAGCTGTAGGTGTATGGAGACCAGACAGTTAATAGTTTGAATACGAGAGAAACACTCGATCGTGAAGTCTCATGTTTAAAACTATCTCGCGGATTCTACATTCTTACAATGTCCACGTCGCTAACAGACCGATTACTCAATACTTCATAAGGAGCAGTTTTCAAGATCTGCCTAGACTGCAGAGCCTCCTCTATCGGACTGATCGGCAGGAAACTGAACAAAAGACTGGGTTAACACAACGAGCGACGAGAAAAGGCCACGTCGACAGTCACATTGCTGAACATTATCGACTTACAAACCAATCTATTAACTTGGAGTCTGTACAAAGCTTAACCTTCAGCATGACTGAAGTACTTTCGACGATAGACTCTGGAAAGCTGGCTCAGTAACTAAGCAATGACTCTACTCAACAGATCTCAACAACTACTGGCAGCAATCAAACAACCTATTCGCGATATTTACACAACAGTCAAACCGAACGGAACGACGGATCGAAACAGACCAATCAAGATCTATGTAAGCCGCAGTGTCAACAACTTTATGGCAAACTGGCCGATCGGTTTGAAACGGACTCGACTTACATTTCTCTACTCGCAATAGTCCTTCAGTTCAGTATGATGACCAGTTCTGCTACAGGTTGTTGAAATGTTTACGAACAGCAGTCCTTTTCAGGACTACAGTCGTCCGGCCGATTAGACCACACGATCACATCGTGTACAGACCCTATTTACTTACTGGTATAATTTTATGTTTTGGAAAATTTACAAGTGATAGATTCAAATAATTGGATTTTTGATGTCTTCATTATTCTTACTTATTTGAAGGTGATGTTTGAAGGTGTAGTTGGTAGTACTGCATTTAGTGATATCGCTATGGACGATGTCGAGTTCCAGGAAAATACAGAGTGCGAAAAGACAGCCGAAACGTTAGGTAATAACCTCTGCCAGTAAAATTGTGACTGAACAGGTTACACAGAGTTTTAACTTGGTCGCATGAGACGAAGTGGTGCCATTCCAAATAATTGATAGAAGAAAACTTGTTTTGTTAGTTTGCAAATCCTTCTTTTTCTCATTTTTAGTAACATCAAGAGAATATTACACAACCAAAAGCGGTGCACCTTATTGTATCTGTTATGGTAATTTAGTAGAACCCTGTGACCGAGGTGTTTACAGTATTAATTGACGTCCTTTCTATCAAGTAGCGAGATTAATCTCGTATTCATAGTTTTCGCACATTTGATCAGTGTTTTAGCTACACGCTTGACCGACGATGGTGCTCCTATGAATTTGCGAAAGCCACTATGTTTGAAACCGACAACATGAACAAATCTCTTTAACTTTTAGTTCCAGCAAGAATCATATCTATTTCATCGAATCAAACAGCCTACTTTGGAAGCAACGTAACACTAGTTTGTACCGCGATTGGTAGCCCTCAACCTACCATTGTGTGGAGGAAAAATGGTAAGGTTCTCAATGAGAGTCAGGTGACTGGTAACATCACTTTACTAAACATCTCTCAAGCAGATGGCGGATTTTATGAGTGCTCAGTAAGCAATCATTTGGCTACTGAATCAAGAACAATGGAGCTCAAAGTTGAAGGTAAATGGTTAGGCTCTCAACCCCACCAAACGTTTTTGAGTGTTTTTTTCTTCTCCTTTTTTTCATTAGTAATTTTTTTGTAGTGATCAAAAATGCCTTTATGTAATTATACCGGTCTTTTAGGGAATTCTAGCTTTTTCTTTTGTAAATTATGCCATTATTTAGACCTGAAATAGGTAGAAAAAAACTTTCAAGCTAAAGAGGTCTATTATGACATGATTTTCATTCCCTTTACTGAACTGTTATCGTTTTTACATGATTTATACCGTTAAATAAGTTTTGGCACCCGTTGGAACTAAGGAAGATGATGGATCAGTTCATGTAGAGGATCTCTGAGCGCATCAGTTAACCACTAATTCTAAACGAGGTTTCCTTAACAATAGTTTTCTTCCCATTGACGTATGAAAAATAATGATGATCGCTTTGTAGGATATCTCAGGGAAACGACGATTACAGCCAACATCTCTTTCAGTGCGGTCGCCCTTGGTGATGCTGTTGTCATAAAGTGCTCGTCTAATGGTTATCCTACTCCAGTCTGTCGAATTCAGCGAGAGGATAACTCATTTAACATCAATGAGAGTGTATATGTTATTCAAAACTTCACCCCTGTGGATCAAGGACACTACCTGTGGAGCTGCTCTAATGTTGCTGGTGTGAAGAAGGCGAATATTACACTTGCTCTTTATGGTGAGAACTCTCAGAAATGAGAAGCCCTCTATTGCATATAGCCAATATAGAAGAAAAACTTTCCTATTTGGTCTCTTAAATTACGTATGAATTACAACTTGATCACGAAAACTCTCAAAATTTCACATCTATTCACTTTCTTTCTTTTAGAATCTCCAAATATCACCGCCATTCATCCAGCCTATCAGCTTGTAAATGAAACGGACACTTTTGAAATCTTCTGCAATGTGACGGGAAATCCAACCCCGGCAATAACATGGAGTAAACTAAGCAACACAAGCAAAGTAAATTATACAGGACAAACACTGAGGATAACAAATGCTCAGATATCAGACTTTGGGAGCTACCGATGTACAGCTGTGAGCGAGCGGGGTGAGAATGTTTCAGCTGATGCACTGGTGGAAGTTGACAACTGTAAGTTGATTTTGAGTTGTGGTTTAAAAATTGGCCTTGTTAATGTAACAAACAAACAAACCTCTCTCAGAGGTATGGTTAGTTTTTGAAGGTATCTGAGGGAAGCTAATATCCAATGACTTATGATATTTAATTCTTTTAATTTGTAGCTGCAGCGAGTATTGTCCAAAGTCCACAAAACATTACTGTCATGGAAAAGGAAAGAAAATATGTTACCCTGCACTGTGACGCCACAGGGAAACCAGCTCCACGGTTGTCCTGGATAAGAGTCAGAGATGGAAAAATAGTGGCTTCGGGAAAAACTCTAGTAATCTCAGCCGCTGACAGATCACATCGGGGTGAATACAGATGTGTAGCCGATAACGGAGTGCGAGATCCTGTCTATAAATCAGCATATCTGAACGTGCTTTGTAAGTTAGGAATATTCTGGCACTTTGAAATTGTAAAATGAAATTTTTTTTATCATTTTTCAATGAATCTGGGATTACTGCTATAGAAGTTTGTAGTATCACATTTCTAAATCGTCAACAAAAAGAGAACGGAAGTAGCAAAATGCACCTGTTTCTATTTTACCGAGACTGATTTCAACCAAGTCGCACCGCAGTAAATGTTTACTTATGGAGGTTTCATGCTCTGACAATTTAGGCTTTAGCCCCGAGACTCAGCTCAGTTATTTCCTCGAAGACAATGTGGTTGAAAATACTCTACTTTTAGATAGTATTTAATATCAAACAAAATCTTACCTCTCCTGGTATTGTAAAATATATATTGCTTTCTTTTCAAGATCATCCTTCATCGACGAGACTAACAACCGACAAACTAAATGGAGTAGTCGTTGGAAATGGTCGCATTGGTTTGACGTGCATAACTGATGCGAACCCCCCTCCAAGTCAATATCAGTTTTATCGTGACGGTATCTACCTTAGAACCAGTCTCAGCGGAGTATATATTATTCAGAAGGCCAAATATTTAGATGCAGGAACCTACCTATGTGTACCACTCAACACTCTTGGCTCCGGTTATAACGGCACCACCCAGGTTGATGTCATTGGTAAGTAATTGACATATGAATGAGTAAATATTTCACTTGAGGATGACTCTAGGACCTTCTGATTTGAAAGTAACTCGAGAAATGTGAAAACAGGATTGAATCCGCAAAGCGTGATTATTATCGACGGGAGATTTTTAGTAAATGAGGTGATAGTGTAATCCAATTTATTTAATTTTTTTTTCAGGTGCGTTCTCGATCACTTCTCTTCCACGAAACATAACCGCCAACGAAAGCACAAGTGTGTCTTTTTTCTGTAATGCTACTTCGTTTGCTCCGTATGACCGACTTATCGCTATGATCTCATGGAGTAAACTCGGAGACAACAGTAAAGTATTTCCGCCAGGTGAACAGCTTGTTATACAAAATGTGAGTCGATACGACGGAGGAACGTACATTTGCACAGCTAAGAACGGACTTGGTCTTCCTGATACTGCAGGAGCTGTACTGAATATATTACGTAAGTATAAACTTGCTCTGTCGTGGGATCCAGTAGTTTGCATTCAGCTGTTCTCTAACTTAGTGTAATTCGATATCGAGTTAATTGGATCTAGGTCTGAGTTTGGTGCTCTACATTTTGGTTTCAAAAAGGAGGAAGAACGTACATAACATCCTCAATGTACATGTAACAGGGTTTCACGGTACCATCCGATGTACCATGAATACCAATAGAAATGTAACGGCATGTGTGAGTAATACTCACTACGATTGTTATTTATTTCTATTTTGCAGATAAACCATACGACACCAGGCTGGAGGCATCAATTCCAGATAACGTGGCAATAGTTAACTCATCACTGATCTTGAATTGCACTGCAAAAGCCAACCCACCGGTTACGTCGTATAAAATTTACCACAATGGCATCCTAGTGTCCAATTCATCCACTGGTATTCACAACATTACACACACCCTAGCTGAACATAATGGATCGTACGTCTGCATACCTTACAACGAATTTGGGGAAGGCGAAAGGGCAACTTTGAACGTGTCTTTTACAGGTGTGTTATTTGCGACTTTTTGAGTGTTGATAGTATTTTTCGATAGGCGCGGCGGATGGCAAATTGTGATGAGAAAATAATTATTCAGAATTATTCAACGTAACAATTTGGCTTTAAAGGAAAGAAAATGGTACCACTAAGTGGATTGCAGAGTATCACAAAGTTTCCTCAGTGTGCGATTGTTTTTAGGTCATTGTATCATTTTCTCTTTTTTGAAACAGGACCCTGTGGTGCTAAACGTGTCCATCATACCTGGTCACCGCAGATTGTGGCTGGAACTTATGCTAAACTAGGAGAGTGGCCGTGGCAGGTCCAGCTGGGATACTCCGACAACACCGAAAGCATCCCTCATCTTTGCGGTGGATCCATCTTAGATCATTACTGGATTGTTACTGCAGCTCATTGTCTGAAACGCGAGCTTCAAGCAAAGCCCCCAGCCAATTTTAATGTCACTGTTGGTAAGGATTTAAATAAATTAGATTGCTCGAATGGAGCTGAGAAGGCTCTCTCTGGTCTAGTTTGGATATTTCAAAATTTTATTCGATGCTCTTTCACTCACGGGATGTTTTTAAATCTTCAGGAGAGCTTCACAGGGGTATTAATGAAGGAAGTGAGCAGAACATACCTGTAGAGAAGATAATTTTACACGAGAACTTCGATGATATTGACCTTGAAAATGACATCGCGTTGATAAAAATGCAGCAACCCATTCTCTTTGGTCCTCACGTGTCGCCGATCTGCGTTCCAGATTTTGACTTTGATGTCGGTACTAGTTGTTATGTTACTGGGTGGGATATCTGGGACCTTTGGGTTCCCCATCAGACATTCTTCAGGAGACCACTGTACCACTGATGAACCACACAGTATGCAAAAACCATTACGTGGGAATACAAAATGTGACACCAGACATGCGCTGCGCGGGAACTGTGGGTCAGAGTCGAGGCACGTGTCGAGGAGACAGCGGTGGGCCGCTGGCCTGTGAAAGAAACGGCCGCTGGTATTTAATGGGTGTTACAAGTTGGACAAACGAAGGATGTATGCACAATGGTGACCCTGGAGTATTTTCCGATACTCTTCATTTCAAAAATTGGATTGAAGAAGTTATGAGAAACAACACAGCCGTTTAGGACGCAACAGATTTTATTTTGCGACAGTGGGTAAAATGCCTAAAATATTAATGAATTGTTAGCAGTTTGCGACTTTGGAACAATGTTGTCGTGTATTAACAAAGACGTTTTGTGGGGCACTTACTTCACAACCTAAAGTGTAACATAGTGGATCACAAATAAGCCATGTTGCCTTGAAAAAATCCCGTCACTGGGGCACCGCTTCCCGAATTTTACCCCTCTCCTTCAAGAGTACCCAAACGAGGATGTGTTGAACAGAAAAACATAAATGAAATGTAATAACTAACAAATGTGTCTGATAAAATCATGTCTGTTTATTGGTGTTTAGCGTAGTATAAAAGAAGCAGATTAATGTAATTTAAAGCCGAAACATGTTTCTTTAACGCTAACCGGTTTGTTGACGCAGTTTTTTTTTTTTAATATTATTATTTCTTACACAGATACAAATCCGCAAATTGGACGAAAATATTTATATAGCTACCTGTATTTTTTTTAATTCTATAATGAAGCAAAGTGGATGTGAAAATGTATATTGATAAAGTAATTCTCTCATAGAGTTCTGATAAAGTTGTTTACTAAGTTTTCATCTAATCATGAAAATATTTCATCCGTCCATTTCAAGGGGATGTTCAGGATCCACAGGCCTGACGATAAAGTGTATATAGAAAACATCCATGTATTTATTTATTTATACAGTTTATTCAGTTCTACTTTCTTCATGCAAACGAGAATATTGGGTAGCATTCTATTTGTAAGGGTTTACCGGCTTAAAGAAAGGAAATTTATCATAAAAAGAAAAGGTTCAAAACATGATATTCTTGAGTGTTACCTGATTGGTTCCTTTTACCTTATTATCACTTATTTTCGAGAGACTTAATTTTCGCGATTTTCGTAATTAAAAAAAAATTCGCGAAATAAAGTCCCGCGAAAATTAAAGACGCGAAATTTAGAGACCTTTATAAAATCCTTTATTTAAGTTTTCCGTCTGCTAGGAGTTTACATACGAGTAGTTCGACGCATGCCCTAATTGTAACCGCTTCCGTTAATTAAAGCTAAATGTTGCCGCTTCCGAGAGAAGCTGTGAAATATTTTGTGGTTTGATAAACGCCTCCGTGATTAGTTCATTGCTAGCGTTTCAGTTTAGGATAAGACCTCGTGTAATCAAGACCGTTTCTAGATAGAAGAAAAGTTAGACCGTAATCCTCGATAAGTAGTCAAGACCTGCGAACGTTGCTAAGCAACAATTTATTTTGTGATTATGTTAACTCAAAGTTGTGATTCAAAGCCAAACCTATCGCTAGGTTTTTTTACCTTTATCCTATATTGGTTTGGTGTTTATCGCTTACGCGTGTACCAACCCGGAAATCGAGTGCAAATTCTAACTTGAAAGGAAACATTTACACTTATTCCTCATCATCTGACTCATCTTGCTTGTATCAGCCCTTTAAAAAGATGTTACGAAGTTGCAGACATTGTTGAACATTTCAGCCAGTTGTTTGTTGCGTTTGAGGTTTCTATTCCGTTATGGTTAAATAAAATACTGAAATGAAAGTTTAAAAAACGAGCACCAGTTACTTGATTCGCGAAATTTAATTACCTTGAAAAACAGTGATTCGTCAAAATCGCGAATTTTAAGTCGCGCGAAATATTTTTATTCCAAATACGCGAAATTAAAGCCGCGCGAAAATAAGTGATAATAAGGTACTTTTTTTTCCTTAAAGAAGTTGTAGTTTCTCCCCAGCTTTCTGAAAGATACCTAGCAGATTCAATTTTGTAGAGATCCATTGTGGCCATAACCTTACTCCCATAAAGGTGCACCCCCGTTAGAAGGATGCTTGCTTTCTCATCATCATCGTCATCATCATCGTCATCATCATCGTCATCATCATCATCATCATCATCATCATCATCATCAATCTTTATTTATACACGAAATCGTATCATCTTACATGGTCTTCCTAGGAATCGTGTTTGAACTAAACTAAAATATCCCTTGTTTCCGGCACCGGAAAAGACCAAACCTGTTGGACGTACTAACTTTTTTTAGAGAGTTCCTCAGCTTCATTTTATCTGAAAACCTGTTACCTACTTTACCGAAGAGCATTTACTGCCATCATTTGTCGTGGATGCAGCATATTTCCCTGACTGCTATTAAAAGAGACAATGCATGTATAATAACAAATCATCCCACGTGCTCGCGCTGGATAGGAGATGATAAAAAAGCGACGTTGGTCAGGAAGATAACAACAATTATTAAAAACTGGATCATTGGATAATGCAATTCAAGACGTTTTATTAGCTTAGCCATTACGTTATATGAGCCAATATACCATAATCTAATATCTGTACATTGTAACATCCGGTTTCTTCTTACAAAATAAATTCGAGAAGATTTGTCTAATATATTGGGGACGTTTTCTTTAATAAAACAATTATTTAACCGAAAATTCATAGTAGTGACACGACAGGCAGTTTATACAACTTCCGATAGGAAAAACAACGAAATAATCACTTTACAACGATGTGCATCCTTTACAAGTAATGAATTGCCAGCTTGGAGGATTAAAACCTTAAAGGGAAACATATATTCAGAACTGGTGTTAAAACTTCACGTTGAGCGAGAGGAGTTCAGCAAATTTACATATGGTCTGATGTGCATAAAATTATAGTCTCTAATAAAAGACACCAAACATAGCGGCTGCCTAGAAGGATATCATTTATCAGTCTTTTGTAACTGGAGTACTAAACCAAAATTCTAACCGAAGCCTCCTGGAATGTATCAACTGACGTCGTTGCTGTTGAATATTTAACGTATAGATTACAAACAGCCACACTAAAAAAAAATAAAAAAAAATGTTAAGCACGTTTTACTGCGTGTAGTGCTTTTGTGGAATCCTAACCCTATCCCTAAGGGGCCGACTACTTAACTCTTGAGGGGGGGTGGGTAATTTTGAAAATTTCCTGCAAGCTCTTGTTGGAAGAAAAAAATTGCATGCAGCCCAAATGTAACTGAAGAAAAAG